GGAGACCGCGCCATGACGCATACAGGAGTAGAGGCCGTCCACCAACCAGATGGACCGACGACATCAAAAGTATAAAGACCAACTGGATAGAGGCATCACAGGATCGGCCAGGATGGAAAAAGCTACGGGAGACCTATGTCCAGCAGTGGACGCAACTGGTCGCTTGATGATGATGATGATGATAATGCAAAATTTCTTTGTGGATTGTAACATGTGGCAAAGTTGGTGCGGATATAAGAAAACAATGCTTTCCAGCTTCCTTTAGGCTTTTGAAATTTAAGAAAACAACAGTTTGGCAATTTTTGGATTATAAACCTCTGTTCAAGAAATGAAAATTAGCAAACCTAAACATACAAATAAAAAAATATAACAAAACTATACATACAACTAAGAAGGTAAATAGTGATGAGCGGTTTTTACTTTTTCCGTAGTAGTAGTTTCTAAATTTTTGTTTTTTAGTAAATAACTCTTTATGTTAGAACTCAGTTCTTTTCAAACTATCACTTATCGATTTTTAGATCAGGCACCGCTTTGGTATCGGGAATTTGTTAGGGCGACAAATAACAATCCATTAATATTTGCTGTAAAGTTTCTACATGCATCCTCTGTAGATTTTAATATACATATGAGGAAACAGACACTGTCATAAAAAAGATAAATAAAAAATACATACATTTTTTAGTTTCATTAAAAAGCACATTGCAATTCAATAGAATGTCTGGAAAGCTTTGGCTGTATAATTAAATTAACAACTCAAACCACAAAACTTTCACCATATAGATTGCCACTTACGATAAATAGAGTATGTATATTATGTATTCGGTATTGATGTGTAGTTGTATATGTCTCAAGAATTAGCTTCGAAATGTAGAACATTCATTCATGACAAAGATAAATAAATACGAAAGGAAATAAACTCAAAGGTAAAATATATGGAAACACCAACATTCTTTATGAAGTAAGTATAGGGTAAACATGCAAAATTACAACTAAGTAAGTAAGTAAACAAGAACAACATACAGTCAGTCAAAATAACATTGGCGCGCCAATAAATTCGTTGTAACTAGAAATGCAAGCAAAAGTACCAAGTAGCAAAGCAAACTCACAACTTTACTGCACACCTCAATGAACAAACCCTCAAATCTCAAATTTCCACCGTAAAAAGTAGAAAAAACGACTTAATTCGACCTAAGTTAGAACATTACTGTTGAAAACTTCCAATGAAGGAGAAATGTAATCTGGTCCCAACTTCAAAAGTGTTATTTATTGTATCGAAAATAAACCACGCAAAAACAGGTTTAAGCAGCACATTATGTATTTTCAGAAATAATGATATCATTAAATAAAATTGCAGCTCTACAAAAAACACACCGAAAACCGAAACAATTCAAACGAAAAAAACACAGGACAAGAAGCAAACTTACGCCTTTTCTATGTAATTTTTGTGTGGATACCTGCACTCCTAATTTGGGCAAAGGCACACTTTTGCTGGTTTGCTTGATGAGGGCACATATCAATTCCGATTGCAATTCTGGCAAATCCAGGCATTGTTGTAAGGCGTTTTGAGCTAAAACTACGTGGTAATCAATGCCTGCTTGGTCCACTGCCGCCGATAAAAACAGTTGAAGGCTTTTAAACAATTTAATTGCTTCTGTCTGAAACAAGAAAAGACAGCTTACATAATTATCTTCATTTTCTATAAGAAGTTTTTACTATAGAATTATTCAACTGTTGCGAAATGAATAGTCCATTACCTGCAAAGCCTCAGTAGGAAGACTAGTCAAAGGAAAATAGGACGGGACTGCACCATCTTTAGTGCAAGGCACATGGAGTAAAACAGGATGTCTCCAAAGAACGCAATTCGGTTCTCCATCAACTTCCATTAATTTGTGAATTAGTTGTTCGTACTGAGTTCCTGTGCTGGGGCCACCTCCACTAGCAACGGTCAGATGATATAACCAAGCATCCTTTTCCTATCAAAAGTTTACGTTTATCATCTATATGAATCAGATACCAATTAGAATTACCTGCTTTCCAGGGCACAGAATATATGTGGGTCCAGTGTTGTTTGGAAAAATCCCAACTGTTAAGTCTGGCTGTTCAGAGTCCCTTTCCTCTGAGTCTGAGTCGGATAAATGTTCCACTTCTTCGACTCGGGCGTCGCGCATATTTATTTGCCCATGAGGAGTCTGGAAACGCAATTACTTTATTAATGAACACCAATTTGCTAATCGAATGAAAAATAAATGTATCAGAACTGCATTGAGACTGTGCAAGGAGGAATTTTAGTTAATTTTGAGACTGAGAGTTACAAAGTTGTGAGAAAAAAACCTGAGCAAATGGAAACTGAAACACGTGTTGAAAAGAATGGAATGCTAATCAAAGAATGTGCTTAAAAGCGAATTTTATCTATACCACATACATTGATACCACTTTCAAAATGTATTAAGATAAATTCACTTTATACTTACAGTATCGGAAGGCGCTTTAAAGTACAAAAACATTTTTCCTATTAGAACACACCAACATCTTTTAGCGTGACCATTTTTCACTTTTGTTAACCATCCTTGAACTGAAGGCTTATTTTCTTCTTTGCTTAATAATATTTTCGTTGCGTTTCTTCTCTGCACGTTTTGTAATATTCTCACCTAAAAATATAATTTGCATTTAATTACTTCGCCAGTATTTGAAAAGCAATTGGGAGTATCTGAAAAATCTCAGTTTTTATTTGTTTGGTCGTAAGTATATTATTCAATTAAAACTACACATACATTCAATACATAAATTCATGTAATAGACGAAAGAGGAAAATATGTAGACTTTAGAATGGGTTCTTGAAAAACTACCTGACTGCAACACGACACTAAGCCTACATGCAACTATCAATCACGCCTCAAGAAAAGTTTTAATCAGGGAACTCTTACCCAGTCTTCCATGGCTGTAATTGTATCCGCCGTTAAATAATAAGTCTTCTTTCCAGTGTCGATTTCAAACGTGTTTGAGCCTTCTGCTCTCGTAATTTTGCAAATTTCATCTAGCATTATTTGTCCCTGGGGTTTTCGGTTGATATCACTTTGGCTTTTGTAATATGTTAGGACACCGTTTTTAAGGACAAACCACTTTTTTCTCCATGTTTTCAATTTCCCACCTGAAATATGGAGTTTACCACATAAAATAATAAAAACTAAGGCAAATAAGTGGGAAAAACCAATTTAAGTAATAAACTTAAATAAAAACAGATCTGATTCATTTGACTTTGATCTGATGAAGTTCAGTCCTTTGCAATTCAATTTAATTCAGATCCACTAAATAAAAAAATCGGTATTACTCACCTAATTTCGCTAACGAACCGCATTTCTCCAAACTCTCAATTCTCTTTGGACTATCTAAATAGGAAGCCCTAAGCATCATCGAAGATTCCAAGCTGGCCGTATCACAACTGAGAGCATCTGGAGGTACAGCATAGTCATCGGATAATCCAGATTCGAATGATATATCTGAAATGGCTTTAAGTTACTCTTATTAGCGTTAACAAAACTAAGCGCGCATTCCGACAAACAGATCAAAAAAGGTTTAAGTAATTCATTATTTAAGTTGGGTAAATATAAACTAGCGTTTTTTTGCAGCAAAAATGTATTCTAATTACCTCGTGTTTTACTTTTGCTGGGGGATCCGCTGCTACTGGAGGCCGTCCGTTTTCCAGGGCTTGATCCGGTAGTTTCTCCAGAACTTCGGCTATGAGTGTTTGTTCCATCAACTGCCTAGTAATTGTTAAAAAGAAGTATTTATTTGAAAAGTAGCAGTTTTGGAAACAATATAAAATTACATTTCTATTAGCGTATTATTTATTTAATCACACCATTCCAAAATATGTCAAATATAAAAGTTGTAGTTAAAATCACTTCCGCGTACTTGCATGATATTTTGCGTGCTTAGATGCACATTAACGCATTTAAATGTTTTTGTTCAATAATGGGTTTTGATGATAATCAAATCGTTGCTTGCAAATCGCTCTGAAAATAGTTTCTGCCAAACACGAAATTTATCTAAGAATTAGCTGAAACCGACATATCTGATTACAGCCCAATGGTATTTATGCTGCAACAAATTTAATAAAAGTTTCTAATATTTAAGGCATTTATCTATATTTTTATAGTTGCCGAATAAACTGGATGTTAATAACTCTTAGAAGAAAAATGAGTTTACAATACGATTTAGTTCAAATATTCACTTAATAATCTACTATCTTAGTCAGCAATCTAGATGATAATGTTCTTCTTCGGTTTGTATTAGTTAATTCATATCCCATTAAAATCTTCCTTTCGTTATTTTTCTTTTTCTACATTTTCTTCATTGATCTTTCACATTTAAGGCTTTTACTTCCCGTTGCCCTTTCAATTCTAGCCCCTTCTTTGCTTCCATTCTGCATTACTTCGCATTTCCATCGAATTTGTAGGCATTCGTATTCTCTTCTAACTGCCTATTCGAAAAACGGCTCGAAAAATTTGCACCCAGCGAAGTTATTCTGGATGATTGTTGAATTACTTCCAGTTTTTTCACTTGGGGCATATTGCTTTTCATTAATGAATAAAGTTTAGTTATCGTGTGAAAGAATGAGACTATTGATAAACATGCATCGCGCAACTAATCAGTTTCTTCAATATGAGCTTTTAGGTTTCAATTGAATTGTACGATCACCTACAAGGATATGTTTTATAAAATTTCCAATTTTACCTGAGTATTGTTGCCTTCTCCATCACTTGAATCGTCTGTTGAATCGCCCGTAAATGGCATGGATCGAATTTGGCTTGCCCTTCCTTTAACAGTCGCGTATACAGGAACAGGAATATCCTGATATCCTGCTTGTTCGGGCCCAATATCACTGGGTGTGGTTCCTGTTAGCGTCAAGCCGTCAGCTGCAACCTGAAGCAACAGATTTATCATTTATAAAGTGAAAGATATTTTTAATTTAGCTCGATTTTGGGCAACAAATATCAAAAGATAAATATCTTTTTGGGGTGTGGAAATTAAGTATGAATGAAAGAGCTACTAAGTATGAATATCCAAAATCACAAAATTAGGCAGCCGGTCAAATTGTGCGACTTTCATCAATCAAGGTAAAATTAAGTTTGGGTTATAATATTATTTTTCTAATAATACTGTTTTAAGAAGCTGCTTTGCTTCTCGCAATCGAAGGATGGTAAAATCAATTGCAAATCCCTCATAATGGTGATCTTCCAATTTTCATTCAAAATCATTAAATAACGACCATAAAATATTATTTTTTCTAATAGAGGCTAGATCGACGTGAAAATAAGCATAAAACAGCGCACTAACATAAAAAATGGTCAGAAAAGTGAACAATTGTTGGAAATATGTCTGATGAGAAGAATAAATGTTAAAACTAGGAAGCATGTAGATCATGTGGGTTTTGAAGATGGTTTTATTTAACGCAGAATTTCCCGTAAGGAAGAGACTCCAAATACGTCCCCCGCAAAAAAATGTGTGGTAGCCGTTCTTATCACTGTACCTGCTTCTAAAATATATTAGCAAATATATTTGCTACTAAAAGGATCCCATAATATCGTTAAATTTACTTTGGAAACTTTTATATTACAATAAAATATTTATTTAAAGAACATGCTGTTAGAATACTTCTCAATAAGAAATGAAAATTTAAAAATCCAAATCACTGATTACCTTCTTACTTATGACATTTGGGTTCATTTTATGGAAGTGTTTTACATTTTTAATACAGGTTTGAAAACAAAATCCGCCTTATATGATAAATTAAAGCTCTCGGGTGTATCTTCCACTTACTTGATATATCCGATCTTCCCAACTAGGAAATCTGTGTAGAGGTGGTGTCGGTGCTCGAGGCCATGTTACTTTCTCTCTACTTGGAGTGTAAATTTCTGCATAATCATGTGCTAAATCAGGATCACTAGCACTACTACTTGGAATTCTGCCAATGCTCAGATTGTCCACTGCGGCTCGCAGCTCATCAGTTAGAGGGTCCATGCTAGGATAACCAAATCGTATCAATATAAATAAAAACACTCAACAGTATAATACTTTACCTGGTATTGGTGGTACCAAAATTAACGCTCGTTACAAGGGTACTGGGAACTACAGGTTCAAAGTTTGTGTTAGTTGATAGGCATACGGACTGGTGCCGGCGGTGTTTGGAATTACTATAGTTTGGAGATGCTGATAATGGCAGCTGGAAAAATCACACTTTTATCTATTACCGTACGTTGCAGTGCAGTGCATTGTATTGCATTTAGGAACCAAAAGATATTTTACCTTTACCTGTCTGGGTTCAGGTGAGCCACTCTCTGATCGTCGTCTATCGGCTAAAGCTAAGTGGTTTCGCAGGAGTTCAAGCTGTTGATTGCATTTTATATTTTGTTCACGTAAATGCTGATTTTGCTGTTCCAGTTCCCGAAGTTTATTCGTTACCCATTCCTTTATGCGAGCAGCTTTGGCCTCCACCTTAAATTGATTGACTAATCAAGATCAAACTCTTTACCAGCTGCAAGTTTAGTTATCAGGCTTCACGTGAATATTCTGGTGTTCATAACTTGAGTATTTCATTATCATTATGGAGGGTTAGAGAGCTATTAATCGAAAAGCTGTGTTGATCGGAAATATTTTTGCTTTTAACATGGAAGAGGTCGTTTGAAATTGCGCATTGATAGAGATAACTTTGTATAACACTTTGTGTAAAGCAGAAGTACATAGATGCCAATTTAAGCAGGATTTAATAATTTAAATCACTACGTTTTGTGTATTTTTGTTTCTATTTCAATTTTCATAACGTGACTCATAAAGATTAACCTGATACCGGAAATGTTTCGTTGCGCAAGTAAATATGAACATTAAGTACTCCTTAAATGTGTTCAGACCTCAGAAACATTCGTGAAACTGAAAAATGTTCTTTCCAATTATTTAGTTTGCTTGGGTCTGGAAAAGGCCTTAATTCTCACACAACATTATTGAGTGTACTTCATTAATTTTAGAAGAATCACAATTTTAACCATGGACAAGCAAGCTGTATGCTCAATGTAGTTTTTTCACAGAAATTTACGATTCGCAACGAAAAACTATTTATAAAATAGCAGTAGGATTCGGTAAGAATTTTTTTTTTCAATACAATTTGCTCATTTTTATCACAATTCGTTATATCTGCTTTCCTCAAGTTAACTTTGACAATCCTACGGATAATCGAGAAATTCGACTTAGTTATTCTTTGATATTTTTGAACTTATCCTAAAATGTGTTTTGAAAGTCAGTTTCTTTCTCCTATTCGGTTTGAAATTGTTCGACGTCCAATTTATGTTTTATTTTCAAATTACAATCAATACTTTTATTTTTTCTTTTTATTTAAATAATCTTTTGAATTGCATGTATGAATTTGCATTTATTTAGCTGAAAATGCGAGAATTTCAAACGAAGTAAAATATTTTATCTTTTTACAGTCATGGCGTTGATCACAATTCCAATGACTTCTAATTTCCGCGTAAAAATTCGATTTTCTATTTTGTGACTGGAAAATAATATGCAATACTTTACTTGCAAATTCTAGGCGCTTTAATAGAATTTTATTCACATATACCTAAGCATGAGCCCGAAAAAGGTATAATTTTTTTGCTGAATATCAAAAGAAGAACCGCTGAAATCATCAGGTTGCTGTTAATTGAATCCGAACGAACTATTAGAATCAGAATAAAAAGAGGCGCTTAAACATAAACTTACGACATTTTTCTTCTTCCTAATCAGCAGCTACAGCTTTGACAAGCAAGTAAAGTCATGCACACTAATTTCTGGACACTCCGTATATTTTTGCTTTTTGCTCTTTTCCAAAATGTTGTTAATAAAACTTCTCTACTGTCCCTAGTTCTTTCTGACTTTAATCATAAATATTTTGAACTTAAATTAATTTTTTTCTTGAAAATAAATCAGTTTGTCTTTACTTTATGCCTCTTTTATTCTATGATATAAAATATTTTAAAATAAATGCTCTACTTTTTTTGGTTTTCATTTATTGGTTGTAGTTCGACGACTTTGCCAGATTGGTACAAACTTTTTGTCACCAAGTAAACTTCATGAAAAGTTGGCAAAGCATTGCGGAAAAGCATGGAAAAGCGTTAGCAAACACAAGAAAAAAACGAATACATTTTTTGGAGAAAATTTACTATTGTGTACCTGTCTGGCGTCGTTCAGACGCAGTTGACGCTGTTCTTCGACTTCTCCTTCCAGTCGATTTATTTGCGCGCTGCTGGCGTCACTTTTAGCGGACCATGCCAGCTTCTGTTCCATTATTCGCACCTGAAACAAATTACGGAATTCTGATATAAACTGATACAAAATATACACATATACGAACAAATATATTTTAAATTGAAAGGAAAAGTAAAAATGTTTAATACAAAGAACACAAAACAATTAACTGAACATTAAAGTGAGATAATTAAGAGCAGCAATGAAACGAAACATGATAATGCCCTTTAAGAATGCTTGGAAAAGTTTTAAATAAACTTTTGGAATCTCCAAGTCAAACTTTGCTTAGTTTCAGATCAAATTTCGAATTTGCATAGATTGAAAAAATGAAAAACACGATGTATTAACTTGGATCCCTTAAGCTCCAAATGCACCAAATTTGAAAAAAAATACAAAATCCTCGAAAGTTGTTTTATAATTAAAGTTTTGGAACTTCAAGTCAACCTTTGCCTATTGTGAGAGCAACTTTTGAACTTCAAAAGGTTGTGATTGGACAAACAAGCCCAAAAGCGCTAAATTAACATAATTACAAACAATCCTTCAAAAACTGTTGGTCGGTTAAATATTTTTTAAAGCATTTTTTTTGTATTTTAAAATATGTTGGTATATAATTTTTTCAATCTATTCCGTTCCATGTTATGATGTTTTATCAACTGCACTGTCTTCACCATGCAAGCCATTTGCTTCACATTTTATTCCTCCAATCTGATATATTCATCGTCCTATTTAATTTAATGTTCCCCAGAATTTAATTTCTGATCAACATTCTTTAATGCTTTTGGGCATGTGTCGTTAGGCTCAAATATGAATGAGTTTACTTCAGATCCAAAGAGAACTTTACCTTTCGATCAACTCGATAACATTTTACTATTTGAGCATAAATTCCTTCATTTATTGGAGTCTCGTGTGGCCAAAGAAGAAAGGAAAAAACTGTTTTTTAACTTGCAGTACTCAAAAAAATCTTCCAACTAATTCTGAATTTGAAAAGAAAAATTTCACTGAATTGCTCCTATTTTCTGCCATCCTCCATTTATCAAAAATCGCGATAAAAGTTATGTCATTATTTAGCAATTCTCTTATAAACCAATGCACTTCTTTAACAATTTAATAAAATGAAACAAGAGAGCTTATAAATCCAATAATTCAACCAAGAAAACAGGTTATAACTGGGAGTTTACTATTATATAACAAGATGAAAAATTATATTCTGTGCAAATAGACAGCCTGATAATATTGTAAAATGCACTCAAGTTATAATTGTGTTAGCATCAAAATAAAAAATAAGTTAATAATTAAATTTACATATAAAGCAAACAGCAGCGACATTGTTATAAGCATGATGTGTTCACTCATTACATTATCACCAGATGTTCTTTTCTTCACAGTCATATACCTTTATGGCTCACATCTGCCACAAATATATGAAATATGCTATGAAAATCACTAGCTTTAGAGCCTGGCACGCGATCTGAATGCATAATAAACGGAAGGGTTGCATTTTATATTGCTTTAGTAACCCTACACATTATTTAGTGTCTTGTGTAGATAACTGTAGCAATGGAACGTGGAAATTGTTTCCAAACTGTTTTATTTCCATTAGATAATTGGTGATGGGCTTGGTGGATTCTCTAAAACGGAGTCATTAGATGTTAGAACATACATTAATCTTCTTTCTTTCAGATTGCACGTTTGATTTTGTAAGCAAACTCCTTTGCAATGATCAAACCATCAAATAAAGCACATGAAAAATCTCCTTTGTTTGCATGCAATGGCTTTTTCCTTATCTTTTAAAACTGCAGGCGTTTGAAGAAAGCAAATTAGTTTTACAGCGCGAAGCTTCCACACATTTATCAACCCAAACCGTGCAAAAGCGACTAAACTGCTGTATTCTTAAACTGACACTTTAAGGCAAAAGCTATTAGTCAAACTCAAAAGTTCTTCGGCTGCGCCTCGTAACAAATCATCTGACAATCAGTAGGAATTAAGAATTTACTTTTTCACGGACAGCAAAAAAACGCAAATATATTGATGAATGTGCATGCAGGAGCACAAAATACATTTATGCATAAAAATTAAATTCTTAAGGTTTCGAAAAATTAACTTTTAATATCACAAGTTCTTGTCTCAAGAGTGTAAATCATGGGACCAATAATTTTTTTGAAGCATTTATTAATGGGCTTAACGTAAGTTAAGTACGGCTCAACGAACAAGACATTTTCAAACTTTTTTTTTATTTCAACAAGCCAAAAACTGCCAAAGTTAATAAACGCATTATATTTGATCATTTATTTGTTGTTTTCAGTCGTTTTGTATTTAAGTAAAAACTTACCATTTAAGATTTTTTTCATATAAATGGTTGAATGTTTCAATATCTGGCGTTACCATTAAACGATTTTCAGCTCAAACAGTTCCTCATTTATATTAATAAACAATTAAAATATGTTGAACGTTTTTGTCACTATTTTTTCTCATTCCTGAACTCAGTGCCAAGTTTAATATTTTGCAAAGCTTACATCTTGTCTATAAATCGGATATATGTACTTACAAAAAGCGAAGGTGTAAGGTAGAAAGCGGAAATTAAATTTCACAACTAAGTACTTACTTTGTAAATGGTACTAATCCAGTTAAACGACATTGTTAAAAAATACTATAACAATAACTGATTGAGTTCAATGATACAGAATATTTGTACTTGTCTTATCATTCCTTATAAAATGTTATCTTCCATATGATTCCACTGATTCAGACTGCTTGTCAGCTAATTGAGTCTGGCTCATTCGGGAAATACCTAATAATACATTAATCGTCATATGATTAAACAATTATTAGTCTGTATAAATCATTTTTGTGTTGCGATATAATGCAGCTAAAATGTTTTGGACAAAATATGGTGAAAGATAATAAAGGTCCTTTGATTTGAACATCTTTGAAAATAATGTATACTTAATTGTTTATTTATGCCTCAAAATCAAAAACTTTCACGATCCGGATATGCAAAATTATATCGATTATTCATAGATTTAGTGCTTTGGTCTGGTCAGATAATTAATTAATAATGGCGAGTAGAAAGTCAACCTATATGTATCTATAAATAGAGCTATTAAAAAACTAGTCCATTAAAAGCACGATTTGAGTAATCAAAAATAAGACAGAAGGTGCCTTAAAGAATATTTAAATAGTTGAAGATGATTTAGAGGTAATAACAGTTTGCTTAAATAGTTCATATATGAATAATTCCACCTGCATTTATTATACTTATTGCTTATGGATTTAGAGAAACCATGAATGTGAGATATACATATGAACAAAGCAAATCATAATATCGTGAAACAAAGGGAATTAAAGTTCTTCAGAACAATGCGACATAAATTCATATTTTAGAGGTGTTGAAATAAAAAGCCACACCACGCTCTAAACGAATTTTCCCATTTGTTCAACACCAGCGCTTAAAAGCACATAAAAGCGAGTGTTCGCCTCGATTTTAGAGTTTACGCTTCGTTTGGATTAGTGATGTCTACGCCTAGAGCCCTTAAACTAGAGATCGATTTAGTTCTCGCGTGTAGCCAAATAATAAATCTCCGGAAAATGTTGTTTCTCCACATGCCTGCACTTCTTACATACTCTTCTTGAACTTAGCGAAAACATTTTTTTTAATAACTAGCATGGTTATGTGTACACTTACAATAGTAATTGTAAAGAACAATCACATTTTCAATATACAAAAAATATCAAAAAATCAAAATGTAATCAACTGATTTTTTATTTATTTATGTGTCCGTCCACTTAACCCAAAACTTTAATTGCTGAGTAAACAGTCAAACTATGATTTAATTTAATGTTCATAAAGTAAAAATCATCTAAATATTTCGGAAAAGAAATTAATTAAAATAGATCAAATCGATGATGATGAATAAATGAAAACGACTGTTCACTGTGTGATTTACGACGTACTTCTCTCTTCTAAAAATCTTCTAATTTTTATTTTCCTTTTTTCATCTACCTTTACTAAAATAAATACCGTAAACCGGAATACATTTGCGGGGACTTTGCGACTAACTTTGACTCCAGTTATTAATTGGATAATAAATTAAACAATAAATATTAATAATTAAAAAAATCAATTTGTATCGGGAAAAAAACTAGACATTGTGTTTGTTACAACCTAACATAATGACGAATTGTAAACATGAAATATACAATACAACAGTTACTTTTGAAGTGCTTATTTAGAGTTCTTTTATAAATTATTAAAATCTGATTCTTTTAAAATAATTAGCCGGGTCATGCAATAAATCATCTATTTTCACTGGATCACTATCATTATCAATTACCATTGAATTTCAAATTTGCGGTTTACGTAACAAAGTCCAACACCACACCAAATGTATCTATAATTAACTAGATTATTTAATTAAACCGTATTTGACCAATTTAATAAACGGCATTCGTGGAAATGGCGCATTGATAAATTAAGTTAAGAAGCGTTCAAGATCGGGCCCATTTTGATTGTTCATAATTCTCCTTTATAGGTCATTACACTAAGTGCCATACGTCTGGATTATTTTAAGAGCCGCACATTTACAGCAACTTCGTAATGCCCCTTTTCTTTCTTGAACATGCTGCCTGGAAGCAACTAAAAGAGTTTAAGACGTACTAACGACTTTATGTTATGTGTTAACTGGAAAATTGGCTCCTCAATATTGATCTGTTGTATTTAAGTCTAGTTTTGCTCAAGGTTTTTTGCGATTCTCTATACTTAAAAAATTCGAAAATAAAATTTGAAAAAACGATGAAAGCATAGTCTTGTTGTTTTATGTTTCCAACCAAAATACGCGGTTTATTAATTTTGAAAAATTTTACCCCAAAATATTTTAACTTGAAATTCGAACATTACGTGTAACATAATAGCAATTCGGGATGATTTATTTAAGTTTGATTTATGTTTAACCTGTATCAAACTGCTTTGAAATGTGATTTTTGCACTAAATGTTATTTAATTAAAAGTGTTTTGCTTAATTTTCAAAAAACTTCACATCTTTACAAACGTA